CTGTCCCCCTGGTCCTTCTGCATTTCTCATTGCATCTTTGAATGGTGGTCATCTCCTTTCTGCCTCTTCACTTTCACCATCTTCAGTGGGACTTATGGGATACATCTTGAATGGGACCATCTTCACCACCTTCAATAGGACAGTGGGACACATACCCAAGCATTTTGTTACGTAGGAATGGGATTAAATCTGTAGCAATGAAAACCAGACTTCAAAGGGTGGAAGTGATCTTTACTCAGTCCTAGGCATTCTCTGATCACATTGCTCACCTCCAACAATGTGCCCACAAGCTCAGCTGAAGTTAGGGAGGGCTACTGGCCTGTTCTGGATTGGAAGTGGCCACAAGCCTGTCCTCAGCTAACCTCCTGACTTCTCTGGTGCCTGGAATGAAGTCATGCTATGTGGTCATGGATGGCTGATGTTACAGATAGTGAGTGTCCAAGTGAAATTGTTGTTGCTTAAGCAGGTGGTTAAGCGCTTTGCTAAACTGGAGTGCAGGAGATCCGAGCAGTCTTCATGCTATGGCTGGAAGTGCCCACTTGCTCTCACTCCACACACACCCAGACCCAGAAAAGAGGCAGTGTGGCTACCTCGAAGCAGCCTTGAGCTCACAGCTTTAAGTCTCTGAGCCAAAAAGCAACAATGCTGCCTCATTTTCAGGCAGTTATGCATGGAGCTGGACCGTGGTCACAGCAGTGCTCTCAGGTGCAGCATGGAGGTTATGGAGACAGGTCTTAGTGCTCCCTTTGTGTGCTCTCCCCCAGCCCATATCAGGACAGCCAATCCCACCCCCTTGCCTGAAACAGCCTCTCTCCCCCACTGGGTAATGCTACCTGCCACCTCACTTGCAGTTTGCTCTCTATTATCAGCTCCACATGGGTGTTATTTTGTCCTGTCACTGTGCCTGGACTGCGTGTGTATCACAGGCTTAATCGCTTCCAAGCTTTCAAGGTCCTATATACCTGTGGTATGCTGCTCACACTCACAGCACCCTCTAACCAGTAAGGCAGAGCATGGATTTGTGTTGTGATTTTCCCCATTTCTCCCCACCTGGTGTTGCTGCTATAAGACATACCCTCGCCTGACTGACTGATTTGCACTGAGCAAGGCTGTTCCTGAAGAGTTGGGTACAGACCACCTGCTGTATTACTTGCAAGTCTCATTTCTGTCCCCTGCTATACAGATGCATTATTGTCTTGGGTGTCGGTACCTTTTACTTGGCCACACAACACAACCTAATGATCCCTTTAAAGCAGAGGTGTCAAAGACATGGCAGGTGGAGGTCATATCTGGCCCACAGTGCTGCCTGCCACATGCAATGTGTGTTGGCCCCAGCCCTGTGTGCTCTATGTGGCATGCAAAACCTATCTGGTGTGGGGCCAGCCTGGGGCATGTGCTGCATGGGGCAGGTTTGTGGGACCGATCCAACCTGCAAATGGCTGTCTTTTGCATCCAGCCACAGGGCCAGATGAGTTTGATGCCCTTGCTTTAGAGCAAACCATTTCTCTCATTGTACCATGAATGCTATTAATACCTGAGTAGGAAATGCTCCCATTTGAAATTTAACAGTCCTGTAAAATCAGCATTTGCTAATTGTGACAGAGGGTAAATATTTGTGAAGAACTGAATGATACAGTGCTCAAAAGGTCCCAACATTCAGGTCTTGTGGCTAAAACTCTCCCCAGATTTCAGTGGAAGTTTTACTGCCAGTAGGAACAGGGTTGGTATTGCATGTTGGAGGTGGCCTCTAAATGGAAAGAGGCTTCATGAACTTTAAAAAATTCAATTCCATGCAGTGGAATAAAGCTCTGAATGCTGGATGCTGCAATAGGAGAGGAGCAGGGACTGTTCATCCTCCCCTGCAGCATCTGCTGTCTGTCACCGTGTGAGGGAGGACATTAGGCCTGGTGGACCTATGGTCTGACCCAGTAAATGGCAGTTATTATATCCTTAGGTTCAGTGCTCCCATTTAATACAGCCCCATACACGTGCACTGGTCTGCACCATGGATAAGGCATATCGGTGCAGATCAACTGAGTTCTTGTCCCAATACCAGACTGGTAGGGAACTGCACAGTGAATGTGGAGAACGTGTGACATTTTTGCTTTATTATTATGACAAATATATATGATTTGGTTTCCCCCTCAGTTTTATCTACCAGGACTGATAGGGTTAAATTCTTTACCTGCAAGATAAAAGTAGGGGGAATGCCCTTTCTATGCTCCCTTAACATTATACTCATTCCCACAAGGCATTATAGCTGGTCCTGCCTTGGGGCAGGGGCATGAGTTTAATGCCCTGTCAAGGTCCCTTCCTGCCCTATTTTCAATGACTAGACCTAGCATGGGCTCCCCTCCCTGCTGTGAAGAGCTCATCCTTGTTTAGACCACAGCCATGCAGCTGCTGCATTTTTTACTCCAGGCACCTCACAGGTCTACTTACCCAAGTGCCTACAATGGAGAATAAACACACAAGGACTGCAAAGTAAGGCAGAGCTAACCTGCATAAAATGAACTGTTCCAAACAGCAGATTTTACCATACCTCTAATCTCCTATGAAATATGAACTTTTATTTCAACCTGGGAGAATTTTTACAATCTTTTCTCCTGTGCCTGAAGAAGGGTGCTTGTGCCCCAAAGCTTGCAATTAAAGAATTGTTTTTGCAAAAATCTAGTTGGTCTAATAGAAGATATCACCTCTACCACGAGTTCTGACTCCTTTTGCCTCTAGACCAATATGGCTACAACCTGGATACCTGAGCAGGAAAGGCCATTCAAAGCATGGACTCAGGGAGCAAGCAGAGGATTCCAGCCCTCTGGCAAGGCTAACAGAAGGCGATGGAGACTGTGTCCATACTGCCTCCATGCTAAAGGAGCCACAGGGAAGCTTGGCATGCCCAGTCTTGTGCTATGCCCTGAGAAAATGTAATGACATTGCCCTTAACTGTAGTGCTAGTCACATGCCAATCTGCATGCCCAAGATGAGTGACTGGCATGCACCCAGCACTGTGCAGAGGGCAGCTACATTGCATTTTTCACAGTACACTGAATGTGAAGCCTATGTGCCATGTAGATTGCAGGTGAGGACAGAAGGCCACAGGAGGATGTGTCTAGAGTCCTTAGCTAGCACATGTTTTGTTCTTGTGCACAAGAGTGTCTCTCACCCTTATGACAAAGGACAAAGAGATCATGGTCACATCCCAAAATGATCATCTGTTGAGGATCCAGGATGTGCTAGTCACACAAATGAAGCCATGGGGTGAAATCCTTGCCATGCTGAAGTCAAGGGGAAAGCTTCCATCCACCTCAATACAGCCAGGATTTCACCAACAGCACTGCCAAAAGAACGTATAATTCAACCTTCATGTGACAATAAAGGACAGTCAAACAGCCCTAAAACATAATTAAAAAGCAAGGTACAGGTGGGGCAAGAGAGGATGTACAAGAGGAACAGTAAGGAGATCGCATGCTTACTCAGGTAAATATGAGCCCATTGAACCGACCAAGTAAAACCTTTGTTTTTAACTTACCTTGTGCCTTCTGTATCAGATTCACATCAGACAGCAGTAGACTGCAAGGGTATCAGACAAATGGCATGGAGGCACTTGTGTCCTACAAGGAAAGCGTCTGAATGCAACTGTCATTAGATGTGTGATGATCTACATTTAAATACAGCTCCTCAAAGGTGTAATGTCTGAGCCTCTGATACTGAAAGTCCTTAGTCACCAGGGTAAAAAAAACCCCAAACCCCAGTGCTTTACTTTAACTCAGCATATTCCCATGCCAAGCTCCACGCATGTCCAGAAGAGGCAGAGCATTACTTTGACCCTCCACGCATGTCCAGAAGAGGCAGAGAATTACTTTGATTCAGCTCACCCAATGCCTGTAAAGATCAGGCGCTTTAGTGAGGCTTTTTTGGCGCTTTTATGCAATAGCTGATTGAATCAGCTTTAGCTAAAAGCGCCAAAAAGCCTCACTGAAGCACCCAATCTTACAGACACTGCAGAGCCAGGTTGAAGTAATGCGCTGCAGCTTCTGGTAAAGTGTGTTTTGGGTTTGTTTGTTTTTAACTGTCTGTAAGCAGCCCAGGGTAACAGAGAAATCCAGAAGCAAGCACTTCTCATCTCAGATGGGCACATTGATAACTCTTTAGTGAGGCTGGGAAGCATTAAAACAGGCCAGTTGAAAGCTTGTGCTCCATCCTCTCTCTCGGTGCCACAAGTCTGGTGTGTGTGTGTGTGTGTGTGACTGTGAATGTGTGTGTGTGCCTGCATTCTGACAAAAATCCAGAAAAGATGCTGTTGCACCTTAATACACACTATCAAAAAAACCTGACAAAGCAAAGCCTATCAGTGCAGACCAATCAACCCCAACTCCACCCTACCCAAGCTTCTCCCAGTGGGGAGTTCTGTCACAGCTAAGGAAGAACTCTATCACTTTCTCTTTGGTAAGTCGTACCACCTCAGGCTGTGCTTTCACCACATCTTGTGCACAAGCCATCACACAGGCATCCCTGATGGTGTTTGGGTAGATGGACATGCTAGTAAACTATATGACTCATTTCACTTGAGATCTCAAGAGTCTCTAATTGAAAGTCAAGGCATCCTAGGAGAATCTCACTTTCTAGTGTGACTTTGTCCTTGTGGTGGGCAGGGTGGTGGGTTTGTATCTCCTGGAAACTCATTGATTTCTTTGCCTTCCTTGAGAAGTCACAAGGCTTCTCTGCCTCCCTTGAAGATGTAAACCAGTAAGTGGGGGGGAAGCCTCCAGGAAAGAAAAGGAAACCAGTCAGTCCTTAAGGAAGTGGTATGTGACATCACAAAACACTGATACTCAAGGTATATTATTTAAGAATGCAGCAATCAAATGGATTATGCAATGCATTGGCATCATGTAAGGTAACATGTAGATCCTAAATTTAGCCCATTTCTTAAATGACTATTGTTCCACCTGTAAAGAGTCACCTAAATTCAGGTACAAATAAAATCCTGAGACAGAATCTGTAATTAACTATCTCGCTTTTTATTGTGTTCATTTACAATCTGGCATTGACAATTCTTTGAAGATTCATTTTAAATGTAAAGAACGAACTTCAGTAAAGCAATTGAAACAGAAATTAATTATTTAACTTTACATCACTAAGGTCTCATAAAATGTACACCACTTTCAAACATTATAGGCTTGATCGGCTGCAAAAGGAAATGGCACATGTTCAACATTGTTAAGAGATAACGTAGACAATCCAGTGAATATGTGTTCATATTAGTTTTGCCAAAACCTGTTTGTTAAGTACTAAATACTGTAACATGCAGTCAGGGATTAGGCTTCACATATGCATTAAGCACAAAAGTACCACGTTCAATTTAGTTTCAAAATACATTTTATTTCAAATATTCTAAATCTGAATTGATTATAGAAACAGCAAGTCAGAGATGCTGTTGGGTTAAGTAAGCCTAACTAAAAAAACTCCTGCATGTGCAGGGTTGATCCCACACTGTGCCCTGTTCCAGCAGAGAACTTAAGCAAATGCATAATTTTAAGCACATGAATAGTCTTACTGCCTTCATTGGGCAACAGGACTAGGCGTAGTACTGGGACTACGCAAGTGCTTAAAACTGAACAGCTGACGAGTGTTCTGCTGGACCGGGGCTCCAGTGTAACCTGGTGCAGGTGCACAGCTTTCAGAGAACTACTGCACTTTACTCTCACTGAGGATCTGTCTCACAAGGCTGAGCTTTTGCTGCAGAAATCCTAGCGGTGGTCCCACTTCTGGTACTTTTGTAGCTCTGCAGAATGTTTAAGGCAGTGAGAGAAATTTTCCTGTTTTCTGACTCCATAAATCTGCAGGAACCAACTGTTTTTGGCAGGTGTACCACAAAGTAGCCCTGCACCCTTCCTGGATGTCACTCTGATCCCTTTCCTCTGCCTGGTTTTCTGATCTAATTTCTGCTCTCTGCCCTGACTGATCTGCTCTGCTTCTCCCTGTCCTATCTGATGCTGTGTTGCTGATCTCTTCCCTGATCTGACTCATGCCACATACACAGGCTGCCTATGCCACTTGTGCCACAGGTTGGCCACCCCTGGTATAAATTATATTTTGATTTTTAAGTGCATGGACATTATTCACTTATCATCATTCATCTGTGCTACCCCTTGTTAGTTAGATAAACACGATGAACTGTCAAAATAAGTTCTGGGAAATAAAACCCCCCAAAAATCTGTCAGTTTAAACAGAACCATATTTAGAGCTTCATACTTCTACATGCCATCTTCTTCACTCAGATGTAATGTACTGTATATTTAGTACATAAAAAGGAAGGATTTATAGAAACTGGATTCATGACGCCTGATTCTGCTCTAACATATATAGGTGAAACTCAGGAATAACTCTATTTAAGTTGATAGAGGTACACTGTTGAGAAACTGGTGTAAGTGAGATTAGAAACATGCCTTTGGTTCACACTAACAGGTCATGTGGCTAAAATATTTCCATATACAGAACTTTGGAACACCATTAACACTCTGTTACAAAACACCACAGTGATGATTATTGGCACATAGAAATCTCCTTTCTCTATATGAAAACATACACAAAATAGATAAGAACTGCCATTTTCTCTGACTTTTAAAATCTATAGATTTGCCTTTAAGGAGTTTACCCCCCACCCCAGTAGCACAAACAACAATATTTCTCTAACAATGTTCACCTAAAAGAATGGACTGTGCTGACATTTTTAACACCGCTACAACCTAAACCACTTCATAGATTATGTTGAACTATACTGTACACAAGGCTATGAAGATTTATAGAAAATCACCAATATTTTTGCACAGAAAATGTGACTTATTTAGGTCTGGACAACAATTCAGAGTCATTTTTATAGGCAGCAGCTACATGTAAGCTGTAAATATTACCCGCAATAAAACACATTTTGCCGTAAAGCACATATTGTGGATTATCTGCTTCTGGCCTGGTACACGAAGCTTGATTTTCTTTCAGACAAAGAGGAATAGGATTTGGTTCACTGGAATCTCTCAGAAAAAGTGCGCAAACATCTTTGCTTTTTAAAGTGCTTAACAGAACTTTGCCTTCCAACGAAACTCCTTCCATACTACAGAACAACACATCTCTTTTGTTTGAGCAATGCTTAGCTAACAAAAATAAGGCTTTACGTATTTTCATATAGTGTTTAACCCCCCCTCCTCCAACTTGTTAAAATCAGATTGAAGTTGAGTAAGCAAAATCCCAGAACTATGAATTGGGTCCACCCTTAACTACCCATTGGATGCTGTCCACAGGGCCAGGCCCAGTGCCCTGAAAGCCAAAGGGAAAATTCCCATTAACTGCCACAAGCTTCTCCCAAGGCCTGAGGGTCAAACTTTGTTTAGTGCCCAAATCAGGCAATTGAAGGCTGTGGGGACTGCAGAGGAAAGGGAGAGAGGAGAGGTGGAGCTCCACCCTTCTTCCAGCTTAGTCCTGGGCCCCCATCAAATTTTCACACACAGAGGAGTACCGTCACTGAGGTCAATGGTAGTAATCCCTGGACCTGGGCTCCACAGTTCCACAAGTTTCTAATTTTGTAAAATAGCAGTGGGACCCCTGCTATAGGGCCCTTTGCACCCGTAGAGGAGCAGCAAGATCTGCCATTGTGGCATATTCACTTTGGTGAATTAACTTGTCTGTCTCCACCAACCCCCTCCCCACCTTGGGGGCAGGCACTTTGAGGTAAGTAACAAAAGACTTCTTGCCTGTGGGGTCTCAACTGAAACATCACTTTAGAAAACTCTTTAATACAGTATCTTTGTTCTTTGATTTCCCAGCAGTAACTTTTCTACAAATGAAATATCACAACTTCCAATTCATTCAAAAAGATGTTAGCATGGTAACATATTTCTTATGATGCATCTTCCCCTATTACATGGGTATCACTGTCCATGGCTGTCACTGCAAGTCACAAGATAATACACGTATGAAAATGAACTACTGTGCATGCATTGCAACTACATTTCATTTTTTATTGATTCCTAAAGCCTTAGTCCCTTTTATTATCCCCAAAACTTTTTAAAGTGTTTATTTTAATAACTTGACATGGGGCAGAAACAAGTAGCAAATAACTTTAGAGAAGTTATTTAGAATACTAAAACTGGTTAGCATATTGCGATACATGAACTAAATAAAAAAGATTAAAATTGCATCTGGACTAACTTTTCCTGCACTTATTTTCAGACTAACATGATGTGAAGCAGCAGGGGTATCAAATACCCCAAATTTTAGTGAACAACAGATAGGTCAATTTACCCAAAATTGTGCTACCAACTTGACTCTAACTTTCCTGATGCACGGAACACCTGAATTAAGCATGCAATACTCGTAACGAAACAATATCACATCTTCTACAGAAAGCTTTTAATAAAAATATTGTGCATTGTGCTTAGGCATACTTTTAAAATTAAAATCTTACTGTAAGAAATTATTCGGCTACATTGTATTTATATCCTTTTATCTGGAATGTTATTAAGTCTACCCCATGCTAGCAAAAATTGTTAAAACTTAAAATATGCACAAATATAAAAAATCTGTTGCAAAATAGAAACATTTATTTAATTTTCTTCATACATTATAAATGTTCACAGATTCTAAAAATAAAACCCTAATTGTGTAAGAGTAATTTCAAGTATTTATTTGATTTCATTTTTCTCATAAATAAATCTTTTATTATGTCTAATGCTCCTAAGATATGGAATGTTATCTCTGATTTTGTAAAAATGAACAGTAATAGGAAGACAAACTCCACTGAGGTGGGGGGAGAAGTGACAGAAAAGAAGCCAGTAGGTTTTGTGCCCTCATTATTCAGCTATATTCACTACTGAAATGCCTGGTGTGATTTTAGATGCTGTGTGGAGAGCAGGTAAATGTCATGCAAGGCTTTAGAAAATTGTCTGCAATAAGATTAATGAGATTAAAATCACAAGAGTCAGAGAAAAATAGCTGAGTACTGTGTACACAGTTGAATGCCATTTATGCAAACATCACTGAAACAATGTTGACAAAGGAAGATGGTCTTCTGTTGCTAAAAAGCCGCAGCATTGGTCTGAAAAATAAGACACTGATCTTGTGACAAGTTACTATCACAGTAACTTTACTTTGGTTATGCCACGTGAGTGACATCAATGCGATTATTTTATGTACTCATGGATGTTGGCGCAATAGGGGGACATGAAATGAATACTGAAAGTACTATTCACCACCTGCATGCTAATGGACTTTGGCCCCAGTCCAGTAAAGCACTATATGGAGGAGACTAATCACATGTGTTAAATTAAGTACATACTTAAGTACTTTGCTGGATCCTGGTCCTAAGTCCCAATTTACAAAAGTCTTGAAATACCTGCTTAAGATGACTCCTAATGAGGACAGACACCAGGTAAGCACACATTGAAAGTTATACACTTGTTTACAAGCTGTCCTGATGAGGGACACTTTCCTGAAGTAGGGCTTTGGAGAAGACTTTTGGGCTTCAGGCAGAAACCAGTTTGCCCATAAAAGTGTTTGTTCTTGCCTATTACAAGCGCAGCTTACGAAGGATTACGACTATGGCATGCCTTTGGTGAAGGTCGTAAATAGGCAATGGGTGTGACAATTGGGGTGTGTCCGTGAACCTGTACACGACGGAACATTTTCAATGGTGGGCGCTCCAAACACAAACATATCATGCGCTTAAAGAGAGTAGAGGTCTAAGCCCAGAGAGCCCGGTGCTCCAGCTACACAGGTAAGTAAGTGTTCAGAGTCCAGCAGTGCCTAAATTTTGAGAATCTGATTTATTGAAAAGCCCCTCCTTCTATCACACTTTCCTCTCCATTTCCAACCCAAATTACAGAGGGACATTTTAAAACCTTTCCCTTTTAAAAATGTTTCTTTGATTAATTGTTTTTACAAAGTTATAAAGACAGCCACAAAAAGACACTGAACAGACAAAGTACACAAAACAAGGTGAAAAGAGAAAGAAAAACCCCTGTATAAAATTATATAGAACAGTATAAACCAGACCTGGAAATTGCAATAAAAACTTATTATCCATGTGATCTACTAAAAATAATTAGGTAACAAATAACATTTTGTTTTTTAAATAGCAAACCCACATTCAAGGTATTTCTTTCCACTCCAACAGAAGGCAAGCAAACCCACCTCTAGAAATGGAATGACAGTTTCATTGAAGTATACATAATGCAAATAAAGGCATGTTTTACCAGGGGACAGGGAGCCATATATAAGCAAAGGGGTTTTTCCATATTCTTTCAAAGGAACAAGTATTTCTGAGGTATGAGTCTGAATTTCTGACATTTTTCAAACTTATATCTCTGAAGGATTAAAAAGGAGAGGACAGTAGACAAGAAAATCACATTAATGTACCCTTACAAAACCCAATTTTATGCTAAAGTAAGTATATTTTTGGCAGGTGAAAAAAATATAATTTTATAATAATTGTTTTATTCCTGTGGTGAGGCACATGAATAGATTTTTGTGCCTGACATGGCAAATTTTCTTGACAATTTTGCAATGCTTCATAAGGCAATTAATGAATACAAGCAAATGTAGGCTTTTGCCCACTACTACATTTTTGAGGGGATCCAAGTATGCTGGTTAAGTGAAAGGAGACAGATTTACTAGGATCACGTTGCACAAACACCAATATCAATGGAAAGCGATGGGGATATCAAATTGCAATCAACGTTCAGCTTTTCAGCACAAAAGCTTTACCGTGATTTTATTTTTTCAAAATGGCAATATTTTGTCTTCAAACAAGGTGCATACCTGAATGCTCATATGCACAAATAGGAGGGAAAAAATCAATAATAGATGTTACTTTATTTGTGTAGACAGTCATGGTTACCTACACCTTGTTGTGAGCTTAAAGTTGTTCTTTGGCAATTTAGCTCACGAATGCCACCTACTGTTTATATTATGTAGTCAAAGAGCAGTAGTTGGACAATATAAAACATCCATTCTGACATTATAGTTGAAACACTGAGCATGTCCAAGTATGGCTCTCTGTTAATCACCACAAAGCAACAAAAAGTGGAATTCCATCAGAATAACTTAGAGACCTCTCGCCTACATATACAGAAGATACTTGCATTTTCAAAAATCAGTTATCGTTGTAAATATTTACTGCTATAACAACCTGTGGATTTCACATTTTGCTTATTACACAGCAGAATAATTTGAAGGGCCACAGAAGTGTAAACACAAGGTCTTTTATGATCCATCTGGTTTCTGATTAGCCATCATATTATTTTTATCAGTAAATAAAGATAATCGCTCTGTATCACTGTGTGCTATCCATTTCATTTGGTGTAATGCACAATTTGGAGTAATTCAGGAGGGTGCAGAATCACACACGGTTGGTAAAAATTCATATTACCATAGAATGAAATTTCCTTTGGAAGCCATTGCTTTCACTTATCAAGAAAACAGCAGAACATTTTATTGTCTACCAAATGAAGTAATATAGAACATAAAGGCATTTGTAACAAAACAGTAGAAAGAAGAACCAGACCAGAAGCAGGGCAGTGAGGTCACCAAGAGCTGTTCTTCCCCCAGAAGGCTTTTAAATGATTAAATACATCAGCAGCTGAAAATTATTCCACATCAGAAGCATCATTGTCAGAAAGATGATAATTACTTCCCTTCACCCGAATATATTCAATATACCTCCCTTCATCAGAATCTGACATACCACATGTACATAGCCTGCTTTCAAATAAAGATTCAATTTCCTCTAGTTTTTTCCCTTTAGTCTCAGGAAGGCATCCATAGATGAAAATGAGTCCCACGCCAGCAAACCCTGCGTAGAGGAAGAATACTCCTGCAATATAAAACAACACACGTACCAGGTTACATAATATTTCCTCTCGGTCTTTTTTATGGAACAAAAGGAGCAACAGAATTTAGAAGCTACAGAAATCAAAGAAGTCTGTGAAAGTAAAGATTTCAGCTGTAGCATTATAATAAAAACTAGATGAATGTGGACACAAGGAAAGAATGCTTTATTATACCACACTATAATAGCTCAAATGAAGAAGGAAGCAATTATTCCATTTGGTTTTGGAGTAATGTGGAAATTAATATGGATCTTTTTCACTTAACTGCTTCACACTTAAAAATAAGTAGCAATAATACTATAGGAGGCTGAGAACAAAGACAGGTATGAAGCACAAGGGGCTCTCCCTCCTATGTGAAAGGACCCTGAGATGACCTCAAAAGCATAAGGCATGTTCACACTGCAGCAGCAGTAGCATTTTCTAGTGAGGAACGTCACCATGTATGCCCCCCTTGTACTCTCCAAACCCAGAAATAAAGCCATACGGTTGCTTTGGGGTGGCCTCATATGTTAGCTCTTGAGACCTCAATCTCCACTGTTTTTGGGAGTGTCTGTGGGGGGTGACCTTGGCTATGTCACCACAGGGAAGATGTGGCCATAGAAATGTTTAAAGAAAATAGACAACTGAAATACAGGAGGTAAACTCAAACTGTGGAACTCCTCTCTAATTATGGGAATTTTGATGCAACAGAGAAAGGTGGCTCTGTATCTGCTCTGCCAGAGGGCAGACAAAATCAAAGACCAACAGATCACCATCAGCGATCCCACCAATCCACAGAATGATGGTTCAACATCATGGCCAAATACTGCTCTAGAAGGACTCCGGGGTCACAGGACTGCCTGTGAATCCTGCCGTGAAGTTCTACGTAGACTATGGCATGAAGAAGAATCTCAGCTGCCACTACATGGTAACACTTTACAAATGCTGCCTTTTCAACGGAGACTGTTGTAGTTCACTAAATAGACAGTTTCTTTCCTTTATATCATATTTCCAGTAGAAGTCATTAAGCTAATGTCAACCAGCAGCTTTTTATCTGCAACTGAACTTGCATACTACCACAGGGCTAATATATCCATAATGTGAACTCATCAGATATATGCATCAGATATACATACTACTTACCATAGTATGTAAGGTACTCTGCTGTATGCAAAAATGTCAGTGATACAAGAACATTGAAAATCCAGTTGACACCAGATGAACATGCATTCCCTATGCTTCTGGCCCAAAGTGGATATATTTCAGAATTTACTGTCCAAGGCATGGGTCCCATTCCTGAGAATATCAGAAAGATTTACTTTAGTATAACAATCAATGGAATGGTAAGAAAAGTTCAACGTGGTCTGACTATTCCAAACTTTTAAGTGTTTGAGAATTATTTTGAAGCTACATGCTAAAACAGGGGACAAACATTTTGACACATGCCACAAATTAAGCCCCATGCCTACCCCAAGCACCACTCCAATCCCCTTCCCCTGTCCGATCTGCTGTCCTGCTATTTGCTTCCTGGCCTGTGCTCCTTGCTTGTTTTGTTGCTCTGCTTTCTTCTCTTTTTCCTGTGTTCCTTGTTTGATCTGCCATTATGTTTTCTCCCCGTCCTATCTGTCACTATGCTGCCTGCCCCCTAATCTGCTGTGTGCCACATACAGAGGCTACCTGTGTCACTTGTGGCACAGAAACCACAGGTTAGCCACCCCGTGCTAAAACAAGTATTTATTTACCAGGTGCGAAGAAAACCAGGTATAAAATAAGGCCCAGAAGAGCTGTCCAAGAGTAGGGAGTAGGACAGTAGTTGTATGCCCAAAATAAATCTTCTCTTTTGAACGTGGTTTCATTTGAACACCTGAAAAATAACCATATAAAATGAACATTAGATAATACATTTCAGGAAATGAACAGCATTTCAATATGAAACATCTTAGTCAAAGTGCTAGAAATGTAAGATCAAATAAGTATACAATTAGAAAGCTGAACTGTCCCTTAATTTAATCAAGACATTTTGGGCCAAATTCTATATTCAGGTATGCAGCATCTTCCAGTGCTTTTCAAAGATACTTTGTGTTTAATTCCATAGCCCAAGGAGGAATATGAGAAGAGGTCTTCATTTTAACAGCAGACTCCTGTCTACAATTCTTCAGTGGAACAGTCTCTATTTCCAATGGCACCATTCACATAACTGTTGCTCACTTGAGTCAGAACTTCAGTATTAGGTCTCTAGGCAAAATGTGGTACATGGATTACAGATAAATTTACAGATTGGCGACTGATAAAAGAGGCAAGAGACAGGTCTTCAACCTGATCTTTTATTGCTTCCACCCCAAAACACAGAAACAAACACCATTCCTAAAGTCTATCTCTACTCGTGACAGCACAACATAGACAACAACACATACTTACACTGGGCTGGGGAGACTCAACTGCGGGGAGGAGGATGGCAGGTCTGCCTCAATTTTCTAAATTTTCCAAATTTCCCTCCAGCCCATATCCTAAATTTATAGATAGCTATTCTAATAAATGTTTTGCTTGGTTTTATTTATATTTCTTTGTTTCACTGAAAATTTTGGCACTGGAGTGAACCAGATTTCTTGTAAACCTGAAGACGTCAGTTAGTTGGGATTTATGTTCCTGTGAAAGTTACACTTCCATAACTCTATCCTGTTCCCCTCATAATTGTGGAGTGCTGCTTTTTGCTCCCATCTTAGTTTATCTTCTCTGATAAGGCTGCTTTGCTTTTACAACTTATATAAGAATTTTACCAAAAATATATCTTTTACAGCAAAACAGCATCTAATATATTTAGTTACACTAATCATTAGTATAAGCTAAAGCTATGATAAAGTATATTTGGATCATCTAATTTAAGGCCTTATTTTCTGTTTAATTGGATCTCATTACTGGTGTAGCTGGACATGTCGATGGCTTCCTTTATTTTGCTGACCAGGCTCTGGTTGTCACATCTGCAAAGATTCATTTTACAGTCATTTAGGGCATTTTTACATGTGGTGGGGAGGGTGGGGGGTGCTTTAATTAGCAAGCCATGCTAATTAAAAGTGCCACAGAGTCATATGTATCAGTATCCCTGCACTGAAAAACAGCAGCAGGGTGCTTTAAACTAAAGCTCATTGAGTGAGCTTTAATTCAAAGTACTCTGCCGCCATTTTTCAGTGCAGGGACGTTGATACATGTGATGCTCGAGTTTGCTGGAGCGCTGGATTTCCAGCACATCGGAGCAGGCTCCCTGCACATGCCTCAGAGACAAGCTTTGGGGCCTTTGGCTTAGCCACACTTCTGCAGCTTGGTCTAGACCCCTTGAAAATGGTGTGGTTGGCAACATATGCTACAGCAGTAGCATTCAGCCAGAGGCACAGCTGGCCAGGACTGTGCCTGGGGCAGTCCCCTGACCCCTCCCTTTCCCTGTAGCTTTTCTGCCTCTCGAAGGTCTGGCCGTGCAGAGAAGCAGCAGCTGGAGATTACTGCTGCTGAGGGGAGATGCCACCTCATTTTTGTCCTGCAGACATCTATGTCGAGGGCCACAAAAACTCCTGATTTCAGTGGCAAGAAAAAGGGTGACATCTCTCCCCAGCAGCAGCAAACTCCAGCTGCTACCCTCCTCAGGGCTACGCTTTCTGGTGCGCCCTTCACTCACTGGCACACACACTGCTGCTGTTTACTGCCAGAGGAGGGGGCAGCAAGGTGAGGAGTCCCTTCCCCTGGCCACTACTCTGGAGCTGCTTGTGCCTGTTCGGTGACTGCAGCTGTTAATGTGATCGTTTGCACTTCTTGCCACTAATGTAACCAAGGGAGCCTTTCTTCATTCACTAAGCAGTAAACTGCTCATTGAGGAACACTTTCTCATTCAGTGTCTGTCTGTTTGCGTCCAGCTATGAGGTGACAAATATGCATAATGGCTCAATATCATTCAAAAACAAGGCTATCATCTTTTTTTTTTGCATCAACCTTTCATGGCATTTCATGCACTGCACAGTTCAATTCAGGCATTGTCCACAGAGTGATATTTACATACAATGGTGAGCTGCGGGTATGCTGGTGATTTCTCAAATATTAATTATATCAAAACCTGCTTAATTTCAAAGCACCTGGTGACAACACAGCCTTCGCCCATTGCCTTCCTTTCCATTTGCGTCATTATCAAATCACGGGATTGCTCAGACAATTTCACAGTTTCGCTAGTACACATATGCTTCTTTTACTGCTACTTTTATTTCATTTGCAGGTGCTTAGTAATGAATACCAGCTGATTATCACTTTAAAATGTCTGGATACAAACAATGCAGTAATTGGTTTCTTGATTCCTTTCAGCCAGTACTGCAGCTGCCCCTTGAAGAACAGTCCGATGCTTTCTTGTGAACGTTTCTCTCAGTAAACAAAGATGTTACTTGGTTTATTATCTTGTATCCATTTATATCAGCATGCACCAACCTGCTGATTCACAGAGCCATGCCACCAGGAGGCCTAGACGTTTCATTTTACCACTGTTTTCTCCCAGATGTGTCCTATTTTTGACAGAGTGGAATAAACAGACTATATGAAAAAAACACATGTTGTTAAAAACCTCCTACTGCTAAGGCCACTGATCTTTTCCCTCTAGAACCCCCTGTAAGCGAAAGGAAGCTCTGCTTCAGGAAAATGGATTCAGTGCGACAGAAATAAGAACAGCATTAGAAAATGGAATTGGCAAAACCTCAGCAAGTATGAATCTGTCTCAAACAACAAGCATTAGCTACACACAGAGCTCTGCACTTGCTGTAGGCTAGCACACCAAGAGATGCAAATAAATAAACCTCATTCAAGGCCAGCGCTCTGAAAATTTACTGCAGCATGAAGTACTGCTCATGTGGTCATTTTAATACAATCATCTATCACGTTACTAAGGACTATCTTATTAGTAATAGGTACTGCATGGTATGCAGCTCCTAAAGAGCTGTATCTGGTACTGAATGAATGGAAAGCCTATGGCAGCTGCTCAAATACTTTCCCAGCAATCTTCAGAAATGCAAGTTCAAGGAGAAAATTCCACAGCAATAGTTTGTGAAAGAAATTATGCAAATCAGGTACAAGTGCAAAGGGTTTATAAATAACAAGACTGTGTCAGATCATAACCATAAAACTATAAACTGTAAGGATGTATTGCTTCATTTCCCCTCAAAATGCAGCTTAAGAGAAAACATAATAGTCTTACAGTTAAAATATTTTAATCCAAGTTGCTTTTAAGTAACATCTACAGATAGTTTTAGCAGCACCTTTTATTCTAATTAATGAAAATTAAACAACCATTGAAAATTAATAATTCTAGCCCAAAACACACACAGTCTCAGGATCACTCAAACTTTTTAACAGCAGATATTATCAGCCCTACAGACTGGAAACAAATCTAGAACAATAATACAATGTTTTAGTATATGTATTATATTTGATGACATGCTTTAGTGAATTTGTAGAAATTCATATTCACATGGTAACATCTATTTGTTGAACTTAGATAAGACAGTTACAGTTACAGTGTTCTGTATATTATTGCTAGATGAGACCATTGATACTTTGACAAATTATGCCCTCTCCTTTACTAGACATAAATACTATACAATCACAAGCAAAACACATGATCAGTTTATGGGGTTATTTTAAAAAAATATGTGCATATATAGAATCATAGAAAGTTATAGTTGGAGGGGACCTCAAAAGGTCATCTAGTCCAACTGCCTGCTCAAAGCAGGACCAGCCCCAACTAGATCATCCCAGGAAAAGCTTTGTCTAGCCGGGTTCTGAAAACCTCAAAGGATGGAGCTTCCACCACCCCTCTGGGTAACCAATCCAGTGTTTTACTACCCTTCTAGTGAAAAAATTCTTCCTAATATCTAACCTAAAGTTCCCTTGCTGCAACTTGAGACTGTTGCTCCTTGTTCTGTCATCTGCCATCACTGAGAACAGTCTAGCTCCATCATACTCTGAACCCCCTTCAGGTAGTTGAAGGCTGATATTAAGTCCCCTCAGTCTTCTCTTCTCTAAACTAAATAAGCCCAGTTCCCTCAGTCTCTCCTCCTATGTCATGTTCCCCAGCCCTCTCACCATTTCTCTGCTGGACTCTCTCCAGTTTGTTCTTTCTTGGGTGGGAGACCTAGAACTGAACACAGTACTCCAGATGTGGCCTCACCAATGCTGACTAGAGGGGTATAATCACTACCCTTGACTTACTGGCAACACTCCTACCAGTGCAGTCCAGTAAGCTGTTATCCTTCTTGGCAACAAGGGTACACTGCTGGTTCAAATTCAGCTTATTGTCCATGGTAACCCCCAGGTCCTTTTCTGCAGAGCTGCTGCCTAGCCAGTCAGCCCCCAGCCTGTACTGGTGCATGGGATTAGTCTGTCCTGTGTGCAGGACTTTGAACTTGTCCTTATTGAACCTCATGAGATTCCTTTTCGCTCAAACCTCCTATTTGTCTAGGTCACTTTGAATCCTATCCCTACTACTCCCCCCAGCTTGGTGTTATCTGCAAATTTGCTGAGGGTGCACTCTATGCCATCTTCCAGGTCACTGATGAACACATTGAACAAAACTGTCTCCAGGTCTGACCCTGGGGCACTCCACTTGATACCGGCTGCCAACTAGACATTATCCCATTGATTACTACCCTCTGAGCCTGATGCTGCAGCCAGTTTTCTATCCACCTTACAGTCCATTCATCCAGCCCATATTTCCTTTGCTTGCCTGTGAGAATGCTGTGGGAGACCATACCAAAAGCCTTGCTAAAATCAAGGTACACTACATTCACCTGTCTCCCTGTATCCACAGAGCCAGTCACCTCATCATAGAAAGCAATCAGG